AAAGAAGTGAAATAACCTGTCTAAAGACTCAAGGAAGTCATTGTTTGAGTCACAAGCCACAAGCCCCAGAGCTTATGATGGAAAAACATGAGCCTACTTTATCAACCTCTTTATGACAATACTAATGAAAACATTATTCCAAATAATTAAAATAAGACATAAATATTGGACTATGGTCCTATCAACTGAGGGTGTATAAGATGGGTGATAGCTAAGTCTTAACAACCCTCAGCAACTAAGCTATATCCTTTCCTCAAGCCAAAAAAAAAAAAAAAAAAAAAAAAAACCCAAAGTGGCACATAAAGATATATTAGGCCAGAAAGAACTCTGGATGGCCATAATTTTCCAAATGTCATCAACAAGCACAGCATCTTAGAATTACACAAGACAGAGAGTTGGAAAAGCCAGTGCACCTCTCTACAGGAAGTGCCCATTTGCAGTCCTCCTGGGAAGCTCTTGACTACCTAGGATCCTGGGAAAGTCAGACACTAGGATCCCATCTTTTTCCCCAGCCTGGGACCCTGAATTATCTATTAGATAACCCAATCTACCCAGTAGTCAGGATTGGGAGAGTAGAAATCTATAACACTCCAAAGGAACTTCAGAACTGATTATATTACAGGCTTCTCCACTAACAAAATTCGGTCTCATCTTTATTGCTAACCTGGTGTCCTTCTGGTCTAACTCCCACCCCTGTCACTGGAAATTATCTCCCTAAGTACACCCTTCTTCATTATTACCCCTGGTTAATGGGTATTAACGTGTGTCTCCCAACAAAATATGCTAATATCTTAACCCCAGTACCTCAGCATGTGACCTTATACGGAAAGAGGTTTGCCACAGATGTAATTAGCATGACCTCATCTTAACTAATTAATCCAACCATGACTGGCATCCTTAGAAGAAGAGAATACACAAGAAGAAAGGAGAGAGTAATGTGATGACAGAGGCAGAGGTTTCAGTGATGTGTCTACAAGCCAATAAATACCAAGGATAAATAGGAAACACCAGAAGCTATAGGAATCAAGGAAGAATTCTCCCCTACAATTTTCAAAAGCAGCATGGCCCTGCTGACACTGTGATTTCAAATTTCCAGCCTCCAGCACTGAGACAATACATTTTGTTGGGTTTTGGTATGTGGTTATGGCAGCACTAGGGAACTAATACTTGATTCTCTGTACCACACACACAATAGGCTATTCCGCTCATAGAAGTTCCTGTCCTCTTATGAAAGTCTACTTGATATCCTTGAATTTTTCGACAAGAACTTCTACTATCTTCCATCATGAAAATATTTCTCAAGGGGACTGAGGACTCTCCCATGGCCATAAACTCATCAAGAGAAAAGAACACTTGCATTAGCCAGTGTGATTCAGTAGTTAGAAGGTCTAGGGTTCAATTGTCGGTCAAGGGCATGTACCTCAGTCAAGGGTTTGATCCCCAGCCTCTGTCAGGGCTCATGTGGAAGGCAACCAATACATATGTCTCTCTTACATTGATAATTTTCTCATTCTATCACTCTTTCTCCCACCCTCCTTCCCTTACACTCTCTCAAAAAAAATTAAAGGAAAAAATATCCTCAGGTGAGGATTTTTTAAAAGAAGAAGAGAACACTTGGCTACCATCTTAGCTTTCCATTGCTAGGTCTTGCCATTATTCCCATGCCTTTTTTTCCCATGTATATCAATTTTATTTTTTCCAGTTTTGTGGAGGTATAATTGACAACCAAATATTGCATAAATATAAGATGTACAACATGACATTTTGATATGCATAAACATTGTGAAGTGATTACCACAATCAAACTAGTTAACATACCCATTACCTCACATAATTACTATTTTGTGTATGTGTGCTGAGAACACTTAAATCAACTCTCTTAATAATTAATTATAGTTACAATTCTGTACATCTGCTACATAATTGAAAGTTTATGTGCTTTGTCCATCATCTCTCCATTTCTCCTACTTATCAGACTGAGACTGATATTGCAGTGGTCTCTCAACTGTCCTCTTATCTTCCACTTCTCATTTGCACAATCTGAAATAGTACACATTCTGATAGATCTCTTGCTCTTCAGCATTTTCCTCCATAGTCTGGCACATAAAAGATAAAATTACCATCCTATGGAGTGAACTATCCACTGGTGTCCATGCCAAGCCTGCTTATTTTGTCTACCATACCTCACTACACAAACTATGCTTCAGTCAAATTGTGCTATTTGCTGATCTCAAACATATTTTGTTGCCTTCTCCAGTGAAAATTCTACAGTAAAGGATGCATTGTGGGGAGATTGTAACAGCTAGGATACCAAGAAGCTATTTGTCTTTATTTGGTCAAATAGCTCCTGTCCCTGTCTCCCTCAGAAGGATCTTGACTTGAGAAGAACCATCACTGGCGTCTCTGTTCATGACCATCACTTACTCATAACTTCATTCAAGATTCATGAAATACACGTGCCCAAGTCTCAGGTTGTGCCAAAATAAAAAATGTTCTAATTAAACCATATAAGCAATTTATCACTAAACAGATTTTCATTTCAGCATATTCCATGATTTTGTCTAAATTAATCAGAGCTAAAACATAGGAAGCCTCAATTTACATTGAAATTTCTTAGTAATGAATGTTGCTGAAGGAAGAAATTCAGAACAGAGTACAGGAACATTTATAAGAGTTGGAAAATACATAATTTTATTAATAGGCAGACACTCCAGAAAATAAATTTATTACGTGGCTCCTAAGTCAAGATACTAAAATTTTTGAAAACACACTATTAACATGGTGACAAAGATGTCATGGGTATTATAGTAAGAGAAGCAAATGTTACAGAACTAATGAATTTTCATTAGAGCCATCAGTTCACTTCGGAATGGGTTAAGTTGCTACCATTTGCCATCCCCATTAATATCATTGTCATGTAAAAGGTTTCATTTTCAGCTATTTCTGTTCTAGATAAAATCTTTGTCATTAAAATGAGGAATGATTTTTATATTTAATATATTCCATGGCATACTCTAGTGTGATACTAATTTGGCCTTTTCAGCATTCTGCATATTAATTGACAATCCAGCCTTCCTCCATCCCTAGATAAGTGAGAACGGAAATAGAATGGACAGCCAATCAAGTCTCAGAATACTGAAAGGATCAACATAGAAAAAAAAACACATTGCACTCATCAGGAGCGTACCCAAGGCACTAAAATTGTTTTCTCCTATAATAATGGCTAAGATAGAAATGGGAATAACAAGTGGCATCATCTGAATCCTTTTATGTGACAGTGTTACCAAAGTTAGCAATGCTCCATAAAACTGAAACTAGTATTGTTTTTTTTAGTCAAAAAAATAAAAACTACAATCTCACTTAGCTTTTAGAACAATGCATTCTATCAGATTTTCCAGCAATTGGGAGATTAGGTCCCATATTTAATTTTTCTTAGTCATCTGTTTCACGAACACAAAATGTGTCCTGTAGTTGAAGAGTACATAGGATCGCCACAGAAGACTTGGAATTTCAGTACGTACTCTCTCAGTTTCCTTTCTCTTGTTGAATTATCATTCTGGTGAGAATTGATATCCACTGCATAAATAATGCATTAATCCTAATTCCAGAAGCTATTATTTTCATTTTAGTGAGGATTTTCTCTAAAGACAAACCTGGCCTTCTTATCCAAGAAGGTAATATAACTTGCCATCATTTAAAGTGTTTTGAATCATTTTTATAGCAATAGTGATATAATTTTTAAATTCCAAACAGCAAATATTATGGCATCGTGGTCACTTAACAACAGGTGTGAATAGTTGGTTGATTAAATCAATGAATCCGATCTGTCCAGCAACACCAGGCTTTTTTACCTTTTCTAGCTATTATATTATGCAGCAACAGGGCACTGGAACAAATTATAAACATACCAAATAATGTGTAAAATAAATCTTCATGCCCTATTGTATGCAAAACAGATCCTAGGCATCTGCAAATCTTTCAAGAGAAGACCTTATTCCAATAATTTATTCCAATAAACCCTTTGTCCTTGCTAGTTATGGATAAGTCCAAATCACTCTCATGATATTTTCCTGAGTTGAAGTCTCCAAGAAAGACAAGAAATGATCAACATAGTTTCTTCTTTCAAGTTCAAAATAGCCAATAGGCACTTTCCTTTTTCCACAAAATATTATGCTTACAGGAAAAGGTATGTAAATTTATTCAGTAGTTCTTAAGAGTATTTGTTAAGTAACAATAATATATCTCCTTTCATCGACAAAGCTGTATTGTTGACCAATCAGCAATAAAGTTTGTCCTCTAAGTGTGTTTTGTTTTGTTCTGCTTCTCTCTACATAAGGGAATGGATTTACAACCTCATAAGTGAACATGCACCTGGTGAGACGCCTGTAGAGATTTGGATAAGCACCTTGAAAAAGCCCAGTATGGAGTCCATCAGCACCTTATTCTAACCCACATTTTCAGTTTGCCCTTCATTCCTCTGTAAGCTTCAGTGTTTAAGGTAAGACGAAAATGCAAGAAGTCAAATCTGACAATCAGAACATTACTGAAGCATAGCCCTGGGGGCTCCTTCAGGATTGTTTTAAAATGATTACCAGTCTTAATCCCTCTGGAGTTTGATGTAAATTCCACTGTTTTTTTTTTTAATTTAATGACTTGCTTATGTAAACTTCCATCTAGAACAATCAAAAGTATGTCATTTATTCAAATTTACAGTGGCTCTTATGCGCCAGCAAACTCCCTTGTCAAAACAGACAACTTTTAAAAATGTCTGCCTGAGTCAGAAGCTCTATTTCCTGAATTAGCACCAAAGTGTCACCTTGATGGACGATGAACAACACAAACATTTATAATAAACCCAGCTTCCCTCTCAGTTGGACAGCCCAGGTCACGCATCTGGAGGAGCTGTAATTACTCTATACAGATCAGAAAGTGCTTGGAGGTGATAGGACTCCCACAGCCTGTCACCTCCAAATATGATCACCCGATAAATAAATGCTTACCAATCTCCCTTGAAATCTGAGTGAATGCCTCCACACCACTCTCTCCATAGTTGCCCTCAGAAGCCAGCGTCGACACATAATTCCACCCCAGGGCCGTCACAATGTCCACCATGGCTTGTGCTTGGTAGGAGTCAGGCGGGACCACCCTAGAGAAGAAGTCATACCTGGTGTTGTCACTTAGCTCAGGGGCTGTAGATGCATAGCTGATTTGAGGTATCTGCAAAACAAATGACAGGTCATTTTAGCCCATGAGGAATCATGCGGAATGATGGATTGTCACGAGAGACTGGACAGACAAAACTATATCAGAAACCTAGATACAGTATCTTGAAGCTGAAATAAGGTTTTATGAGCAACAATGTGATTAGAAAGCCTTTTACATTGGTCTGTAGACTCACTTTCTTTCAGAGTACACTAGAAGCCTGGTGCACAAAATTCATGCATGGGGGAGGGAAGTATGTCCCTCAGCCCAGCCTGCACCCTCTCCAACCTAGGACATCCCTCTCATAATCCAGTACTGCTGGCTCCCAACAGCTCACCTGCTTGCCTACCTGATTGCACCTAACCACTTCTGCCTGCCAGCCTGATAATCCCCTAACCACTCCTCTGCCAGCTTGATCGATGCCTAACTGCTCCCCAGCTGGCCTGATTGCCCCTAACTTCCCTCCCCTTCCAGCCTGGTCACCCCCAACTGCCTTCCCCTGAAGGCCTTGTCCCTTCCAATTGCCTTTCCCTGCCGACCTGGTCACCCTCAACTGCCCTGGTCATCCCTAACTTCTCTCTTTTGCAGACCTAGTCACCCCTAACTGTCCTCCCCTGCCAGCCTGGCCACTCATAAATGTTCTCCCCTGTCAGCCTCATCACCCCTAACTTCCCTCCCCTGCTGGCCCGGTCACCCCTAACTTCTCTCCTTTGCAGGCCTGATCACCCCTAACTGCCCTCCCCTGCCAGCCTGGCCACTCATAAATGTTCTCCCCTGTCAGCCTCATCACCCCCAACTTCCCTCCCCTGCTGGCCCGGTCACCCCTAACTTCTCTCTCTTGCAGGCCTGATCACCCCTAACTGCCCTCCTCTGCCAGCCTGGTCACCTATAAATGTTCTCCCTGCCAGTCTAGTCACCCTCAACTGCCTTCCCCTGCTGGCCTGGTCACCCACAACTGCCCTCCCCTGCTGACCATCTTTGGCAGCCAACTTTGACCACATGGGGGTGGCCATCTTATGAGTTAGAGTGATGGTCAATTTGCATATTACCTCTTTATTACATAGGATTTCTAAGCAGCAAGAAAGAATGTAGTTTTGCTTTAGATTCCATTGTTTCTGAAAGCAAGGCAAAATATTTGTGTTTGTTTTTGTTGTGCTTTTTTTTTTGTATGTGATAAGATCTGTGCAGAAATGAGACAGCAGTGAAGGTATATACATGTGTCAGAAAAGGTCAACCTCTGACAATGTTTTAGCTTTAGGTCAGAAAGGCTACACAATGACAAACAGAGACTTTAATGTGAGATATGTTTTTACACTTGATGCCATTTTAACTTTATATTTTTGGCAAATTATTTTAAATAAATAGCTATTCAAGTCTATTCACTGATTATTAATATTAAAATGTTTTGGGAATAGCCAACTATGTATCTTCTAATAAAAACATTTTTCCAACTTCCCAAAAGAACATTACAAAATAAGAACCCATACAATAATTTCTTTGGGAAAACAGACTTGCCACAAATCTCCCCCTATAAAACTTTAAAATGCAACATTCATTCATATATCCAAGTGAGGACTTCAATCTAACAGAGGGAAACACATTACTAAAGAAGTACAAGGAAGCACATGAAGTCCGGATAGGGTACAGAAGATGCCGGGAATCTGTCCAGGGCATCGCAGCCATGGGGGCTGCATTCCAAATGCACAGAGTGGGCAATGGCATGGCAGATCCCAGGGACTGCAGCTTTTCAGGTGACAGGAATGTAGGGCACTAGGGGAGGGTTGTCAGGAAATAAAACTGCAAAGCTAGAGAGAAGCTGGGTGATGAAGGGGAAAGGAAAGGTATGGAAACTATATGTATCTGAAAGACAAGGGAAGGTGCAGGTGAGGAATCTCAGTTGTATGACTTTGGTAACTAGATCCCTGATATTTTCTGTTTAACAAGATAGATTTAAAAAAAGATTTTTCAGACAAAAAAAAGTAAGTTTAACTTTTGATTTGCTTCTTTTGAGATTCTTGTGAGATGAATGAAAGCAACTAAGTAGCGGTAATAATATTGGGAGACCTGGAGTGTAAGAGTGTCTTTGAGACTGAAGGTGAAGAAAGGTGGGAACACAGTGGAGATGGTAGTTAGGGCAATTTGGGAGGGTGAGCTGTGCAACTGTGTATCTCATCACTCCTCTGCCACCATACTGAGGTGTGAAAGTTCAGAGGCCAAAATGACAACTCAGGGTGCTTAATTGAAGGTGCAAGTTGGGCTCATACATAAAACAATTAATTTTGCTCTCCTGCAGCCAATATCAGTGCCCTGATGTCAGAGAGCCTGCAGTTCCATCGTCCTATACAGGCCTACACACTCTGGGACCCAACCCTCACCCACCACCCCCTGGCCAATGATTCCCAATCCATATAAGGTTTTGATTCTCCTCTTCACATCTGTGTAAAGCTCTCAACATCTGATCTAGAGAGTCTTGTTCCATATAGTGGCAGGGAAGTGACACTGAACTTCTCAAGATTAAAAAAAAAAACAAAAAAAAAAAAAAAAAAAAAAAAAAAAACGCCTTACTACAAAGGAAGAAGTTAAAGAATGTGCTTGGAGCTCTCCATGGTGCTGCAGGGTCCATCCAGCTTCTGTACAACCTGCATCTCTCTCCATTGACTATAGCAATGAGTTAGCCTATTTAACTCCCAATTCTTCCCAGTCCTAATATACTAGTGGGATCAGTGAAGTTGCTTGTTAACACTGTGGGTCTACAAAAAACTAGACTGGCCACCCCTCGACGAGCTGTTCCCTTGATTAGTCTTTGTGTCCAAATACATGACTACTCAGCAAGGACACACCTCCACATGTCTAACCACACACCAAATCTTGGGCCTTTTTCACCTTTTTATGCTTGCTTCTAGAGGACCTTGGAACTAAACAATAGATGACTCAGTGAGATCTACCCCTGACTAGGTAAAATTTTCCCAGAGATGTGCATTTCTGTGTTCCAATGAAATGTATTCAGCAGCTTGACCTTCACTTTGGGAGGAATTCTGTGAAGATGAATGGTGTGTGTGTCCCTTGACATGCCTTCTCTGTCCTGCTTGCTGTATGTCCTAAGAGGTGCTTTAGGAGTGTAGCACCTGGATCCCTGGTCTCAGGCTTTCAGTGAGTCCCACAGGAGTCAGAACACTGATTTTCCCCATCTCCTTCCGCACCAACCTGGTGTTTCTCCATCTTAACCCTCATCCACAGCTAAATCTCTTGCCAGGCTCCAGGGACCACTCTCTACCCTGTCCCTTCATCTCCTGCCATTGCTGCTAGTGCCTGGGTGCTTCCTCATCCTGTGTTGGTTCCTTTCCCTGTGTCCACACCTTAAGAATCATCCTTTTGTTGACCTTCCTTGAATTACCTTTCACAGAGGATTATTCAGAGTCCAGTAGCTGAGGCGCTACTCAGAGTCCATCAGTAAAATGCCTTCTACAACCCCCACCCTGCCTATAATAATGAGCCACCCCTTTCTAAAAAGGAGCACAATGTGTGAAAATTGAGTGTTTGAACCCAAAACTAATTATCTCAAATTACTACCTTCAGTCAGTCACTTTCAAGGGCTGTTTAATTAGCAGTCAGCACCATGTTTAGGATTAATTAAACAGGTGTAAAGGGGGTATAAAATAAAAGTGCAGATAGAAGATGGTTGTTTGAATAACTGGATAAAGGACTTTCTCCCCAAACTCTTAAAGAGTTTCCTCTTTGCATATCATCTTGTGGAAAAGTGGTGTGAGAGTATGTGTCTGTGTTTCCACTTGTTCAACATTTGCTGTATTGCCATCTATAATAATAGACATCAGGGTATGTAGATAGTTTTTTAAGACAACTTTTCAAGTTGTCATGAAATCATTCCTCATTTTTATTTTATTGTGGTTGACCACAGAGCATTGGCTTCTTATGCACTTTAGTCTCTGTGCCAGCATCCCCAATATTTCCACCAACCCTCGAATTAAAGCCCTACTGGCAACCCAAGTGGACATCTTTTATAAACCTAGAATGTTTCTTTTTCTTTTCCCTACATTAAATCCATCCCAATTAATCCCTTCACCCTGGAGCTTCCCTCTATCAGAAACAATAACACTAAATAAGGTGGTGGGTGGGGAATAGAAGTAGAGAGGGAAATGAGAGGGAAAAGAAAAGGAGGGTTAGGGGAAGCATTCTGTGTCAGTGATCCCATCCTTTGGAAGAAGTAACATCCTACATCAAACTCTGTTAACTCCCTCTTGCCCACTCAAAGGATAATATCCAAACTTCAGCCTGGCTCATGGAATCCGGATATCAGACTCTGTTCATTCCTCATTCCAACCCCATGTCTTCCCTGCCAGACCCTGACAGCGCCCTGCCCCTGCTAGCCCCTCTGTTGACTGTCTTTTCTCCTTCACCTGGAGATCTTCTGCACAAAGTAATGTCTACCTCTCTGGGGAGCTTTCACCAACTCTCTCAGGCACCCTGGCTCCCATAGCCTCCATCATCTGACATTAGGAACCACAATGACTTATGAGCCGCTCAGAAACAAACTCTCTGTCAATTTCCTTGGTATCCCTAGCACCTGGCAGAGGAAAAGCTCAATGACTGTTTAAAGGCAATTTATTAGTTAAAGTGTGGCCAGAATTTTAGTACAGCCTCTTTCCCACAACTTCCTACCCTGCATTCCACCAAAATACTGTATTCTGTGTCCCTCTCAATCCTTCTTTGCTGTGCTGCATCCACTGTCCTAGGAGGTGCTCTATGGCTGTTGCACCTGGGTCCCTGCCTCTGGCTTTCAGTGAGTCCAGCCAGTGGGAGAAAATGAGAGACAGGAGAGGAGACAGGAGTCAGAGCATTGATTTCCCCATCTCCTTCCCCACTATCTGAACCTTCATCCACAGCTAAAGCACTAGCCAGGTTCCAGGGACCACTCTCTACCCTGTCCGTTCAGGTCCTGCCATTGCTGCTAGTGCCTGAGAGCTTCCTCACCCTGTGTTGGTTCCTTCGCTGTGCCC